TATTTGTACGCGTTCGCAGACAAATTAAAAATCGACAAAACTGTTATATTATTAACAAGAGTTTGATCTCATTAACAGGACTATGATAGTGATACTAATAATAGTAATTTATATATCATAGGTTATTTAATATATTATAGGTTGTACAGTACGTTATAGGTTATGTAATATATAACCTCTCAATGTTGTAGTGTATTTGTACGCGTTCGCAGACAAATTAAAAATCAACAAAACTGTTATATTATTAACAAGAGTTTGATCTCATTAATAGGACTATGATAGTGATACTAATAATAGTAATTTATATATCATAGGTTATTTAATATATTATAGGTAATTCAGTACGTTATATAGGTTATGTAATACATAACCTCAATGTTGTAGTATATTTGTACGCGTTCGCAGACAAATTAAAAATCGACAAAACTGTTATATTATTAACAAGAGTTTGATCTCATTAACAGGACTATGATAGTGATACTAATAATAGTAATTTATATATCATAGGTTATTTAATATATTATAGGTTGTACAGTACGTTATAGGTTATGTAATATATAATCTCAATGTTTTAGTATATTTGTACGCGTTCGCAGACAAATTAAAAATTAACAAAACTGTTATCTTATTAACAAAAGTTTGATCTCATTAACAGAACTATGATAGTGATACTAATAATAGTAATAACTTTATTTATCAATGGAATAAACCCTTTGTCACAGTGAGAGAAAATAATAATAATGCAGCAATCACGCAAGGGGGATGCAACAGAAAAGCTTAGAGCTACAAAAGGGAAAGAAACTTAAATACAAAAATTAGCGAGAAATGAAAATAATTTTATGATCGCATTAACAAGGTTATTCGTCCTCTTCAACAATTACCAAAAGCCGAAATAATTTCGAGAAACGACGTCGAACTTTCGCGCGCGAATTCCCAAGATCTTTCGAACGGCCGGTGTATGAGTTATGTAAATTACGGAGAGGAGCGAGAGTGGCCGTTCACGAAATTATGCGAACTTCCGGCGGAAAGTTCCGCGAGATTCCCCCGCCCGCGTGGCCGATTGCCGGACGGCGAGGAGTTTAAGTCCGGCAATGGTTGAAGAAGAACGAGCGAGGGAGAGAAAGATAGAGGTTTGCGTCAACATCGTGCTCGCAAGGTCGTCGAAATTGCGAAAGTTGCCCCGGCGCCGTTGGTGAGCCGATGACTCTTGCGAATCACAAACTTCCACGACCTCGACATTCGCTGCTGAGACCGGAAGTTCTCGACTGCCGCGAGTTTTCCGACCGCGGACCCGCTAATGGGTTTCTTGATGGCGCCTATAGCCAAAAAAATTGGGTCGTGTAATAACGAGAACGGATTTATTATAGAATTTCAGCCTATTTTAATCTATCCTAATCTGCCCTATCTTAAAGTAGACACTTCCAGTTTTCATTTAAGCTAAGTTGCATACAAATAGCTCTCCGGGAACGTGTCTAAAAATCCATCTGAACTTTTCCTTTTAAATCTTGTAAATTCCATGATGTCAGAGGTCGATTCCATCTGATTTTTTAAAATGACCTCGTCGTTCTATTGCGATCTAATCTACGCTGTCTCAAAGTAGACATTTCCTGCTTCCATTTAAGCCAAGTTTCATAGAAATAGCTCCACGAGAACGTATCCCAAAATTCATCTGAACTATCGCTTTGAATTCGTGTAATTTTCCTCGTCTTTTCCTAGTTGTCAGAGGCCCGCGAACGGACGTATCGCATAACCTAATAACATTAATACGTGCTGCGACACGTTAATCGAAGGCTTCGAACGTTCTCTGCAACGTAGCAAAAAAAAGTTCTGTCACCTCCCAGTCGCGTTGACGCAGTCCAGTGTTAATTTCATGCCTCACCTGGCCGCCACCTGGACACCATTGTTCTTGTCCTTACTCGCGTGCGGCTTCGGAAAGCCCTTTCAGCTTTCCAGACCATAATGGATCTCTCACCCCCTCTGTCTGCCATAATGCTGCAGGCTATGCCGCTAGAACAGAGCGTCTCGATTGCCTTCAAAGAATTTCGTTTCAGTTCAGCGACACTGAAATCCGAGCTGTATCGCGACGAATTTAGGATTCCGCGCGCCCTTGTCTTCCTTCTGCATACCTCCCGGCCCTTCTGGACGGTTCGTCGACCCCTTTTTAATTTCCTGTGTTTTTTCGGTTGTTTGACATTTCTTTCGTAGACCCGAGTCGGCTTTACATTCGAATCAACGACCTTTTATTCTGCTTGTTAGTCCTGCTTTCTTGCGGCCCGCAATTTGTTCGCGGGCCCTAGACCCGCTCGTGTTCCAGCCAACAGACCTGTCGGACGTTGCTTGCGCGTTTTTTCCACGAGTTTCACATTTTTCGCAGACGCTGGTCCCTCTCGTACACTCGAGTCAACCACCCAGCAACACTTCATTGTGCCTGTTAATCCTTGCTTTCTTGTTCTGCACGATTTTCGCGTGGACCATAGACGCTCCTGTTTTCTAGCTTGGCTGCGCAACAACCCCTCTTTTGTCATTTCTAACCTCGCTTTTGGCGCCGTTTGAATTTTTTCCACGGAACGTAAACGCTCTTTTTTCTTCAGTCAACCCTTTTGACGATTCTTTTCTGCTTTTATTAACCGTGTTCCCGCGAGTTCTACGATCTTTCTATGAAATGCAAACGTTTTTAAGACCTCGGGCCAACGATACTTTGACATTTTTATCGATCTCGTTCTCGCGTGACTCGCATTCTTCCATGAATTAAGCATTCCAGTGTCGCAGATAATTTATAATTTACTGTAACAAATCATTTTTATGTTCGTTTAATTCAACTTTTGATTAACTTAATTTTTGTTTAACCTAACCAAATTTTCGTATTGTCAACAATTTTATCGCTTCTCTGGATGTTCCTTTGTTTATGTTTTTCTAAGCTCAACAATTTTGTTCCAAGTCCCAGACTCTGGACTCAATACTTAAAATTTGAATAAATATAAATAAAAATTTATTTATGTAATAAATATAAATTTATTGTTATAAAGTATTTTAAATATGCCTCTGTATGAAATTAGTAATTCTGAGTTACTAATTTCAGAAAATTCTATTCTTTAGAAAATTATCTAACCTGAATAGTTATACCTATTTCTAAAATTAAAACAAAACCTAATAAAACGAACAGTCGATTTCCATTTATAAGATTGTTGAATATGAATGCTAAGTGCTATCAACTATATTGTATATTCGAAGCATTCGTAACAAAAAGCTATAATATACTATNACCTATTTCTAAAATTAAAAAATAACCTAATAAAAAGTACAGTCGATTTCCATTTATAAGATTGTTGAATATGAATGCTAAGTGCTATCAACTATATTGTATATTCGAAGCATTCGTAACAAAAAGCTATAATATACTATATGTATAACCTATAATATATAAAATATTTTACTATATTTTTTTTTAAAACTATAAATAATATTTTAATTGTTAAGATTTTATTTTGGGCCGCTTGCAACCAAATAATATTATTTAAGCCGAAGAATACAAAGGGGTAAGTATTATCAATTATCAACATATCGTAGATTTTAAACATTTGTGACAAGAATGAATAGCTCTAACATAACCTCCAGAATTAGATTACAAGAATTTCATAA